CCCCAAAACCCCAAAACCCCAAAACCCCTAGTTGCTTTTATTATTATAAAAAGTAGTTTGAATAGATATTTATTTTATTTGATAATAAAGAAATCAACTAATAATTTATAGGAGATCAATGAAGTCCAATAATTATATGCCTTAATATGCATCTATCACACCTAAACCTATCTTCTACAAGACAAACGGCACTGGCAGAGATACCTACATTGAGACAAACAATGGAGGACTGACCCAAGACAAGTATCTAGCAAAGTTTCCCTCTATAGGTATGTCGTCTTTATTAGATATTAGGCTTAAATGATCTAGCTGATGCTTGATTGCCATTTAAATCTAACACCATTCACATCATTTATTTATCTGGGATACTTAACCTAACATAATCTTATAGGCACATTCGGCTAGAATAATCATTTGAGAATTGCAGAGAGGAAACCCAATTTGGGGCATAGAATAAGTCTCTATAGAGCTGATGGAACTGGCAGAGACTCTTACTGCTTGTAATATAAATTGTCTTAATGATTTCAAATAGTTCCTCTAAGGGAGGATTTGCAAACGTAGATTTACATGACACTGATGGCAACATATACTTCTAAACATCACAGAGTAACCTATCCCCTTCAAAGGTACAGCCACTTTAAGAGCTTTAAAGCGACCGTACTCTGAACTTCTTCGTGGGCCAACTCCGCAGTTACCAACAGCCGACAACTGATATCTATACTAAACACCACTAAATGAGGCAAAAGAAGGAGCAAATAAAACGTATTCTGATAAAGAATACTCTGCTAGCTAGATCTCATTCTGTAAAGGACATTGGCGATGAGCAGTAGAGATCTGCCTTCACCAGAGCTGCTTTGGACTCAGCTCCGTTGAAGATCTCGCTTGAGTAAAACAGGATGCGAGCCACCGGATTCTAACTCAGCCAGCAGAACTCTCCCATCTTTCAGAGAGGACTCTAAAAACCTCATGCAGCCATACAAGAGAACATGTCCATGCCAAGTTTGTTTTATAGAACAGACCAAATGAACAAATTCATCAGAGATGAATACTCACCTTCCAGATAATATCTAGCTCAGCAGCTAGCTGCATAGAAGCAAAGAATCAAGATGAGAGTCTTGTCGCAGCCAAAATTCTTGAAGGGCGAAAGAAGAGTAAGCAGTGAGATTAGGACCAAGGAGAATATGAATAGTAACTTAACACTGGGAGCTGAGTACTTGAATGTATCGCAAAGAAGCAATCAGAATATCAATGCAAGTGGAACAGATGCAGCAAATAACGGTCTTTACATGAAAGTCAAGAGTATTAAGAATTTGAAGGAATGAAAAGGCAACAAGTCGCCCAGATGGATATTTGCTTGAGAGTCAGTCTGCCAGCTAAGTATTTCAGATGTTATTAATGCCTAATCTGGAATCTGATATGAATGGTGGCTGTGAGAGAAACTCATAAGTTAGTAATATAAGTCAGTTTGATTATTTTGCAAGAGATCTGATTAGATCGTATATTTGGAAATAAGTTAATTTACATACACAGTAGTCTTAGGATATGTTTAAAAATCGATCTCTTTTTTATATATTATTCAGAAGTGAATTTCTTAATCTACGAATCACTAATTTATCATATAGGGGTTTTGGGGTTTTGGGGTTTTGGGGTTTTGGGG